AATCTTGCTCTGTCACCCAGGCTGGAGTGCAGTGGCACGATCTCAGCTCACTGCAACTTCCGCCTCCTGGGTTCAAGTGATTCTCCTGCCTCACCCTCTCAAGTAGCTGGGATTACAGGTGTACACCACCATGCCCAGCTAATTTTTGTAGTTTTAGTAGAGACAGGGTTTCATCATGTTAGCCAGGCTGATTTCAAACTCCTGACCTCAGGTGATCCACCTGCCTCAGCCTCCCAAAGTGCTGAGATTACAGGCATGACACACGGCGCCTGGCCATTTCTTTGGCATACTTTGAGCTGGTTATTCTCAGAAAGTGTAGACATGGGAGTAGCTCTGAAAAGCTGTCCTTCAGCCGGGTGTGGTGGTGCATGTCTGTAATCCCAGCTACACGGGAGGCTGAGGCTGGAGAATCACTTGAACCCAGGAGGCAGAGGTTGTAGTGAGCTGACATCGCACCATCGCACTTCAGCCTGGGCAACAAGAGCAAAGCTCTGTCTCAAATTAAAAAAAAAAAAAAAAAAAAAAAAAAAAGGAAAAAAAAAAAAAAAAAAGCTGCTATTTTGTAAAAGAAATTTACATCCACAAAGGAAACCTACATTAGTCAAGTACAGGCTGAATATCCCTCATCTAACATGATTGGGGCTACAGTGTTTTAGATTTCAGAATCTTTTGGATTTTGGAATATTTACATTATATTTATCAGTCAAGCATCCCAAATCCAAAATTTCAAAATCTGCAATGCTCCAATGAGCACTCCCTTTCAGTGTCATGTTGGCACTTCAAAAACTCAGATTTTGGAGCATTTCGGATTTCAGATTTTCCGATCATGTGGGCTCAGCCCATATCTGTATCAGGAAGAAGGCTTCTCCAAGGCAACTTTTATTATCAAGAGACCTTCTCTGCATAACAAGACAACCTTCAGTCACCATACACTTCCTCCCCTCACCTTCCTATAACCTGGTCACACCCCACCCCAGTCATTTATTATTTTTTTTGACACAGGGTCTCACTCTGTCACCCAGGCTAGAGTGCAGTGGGGTGATCTTGGCTCACTGCAACCTCCACCTCCGGGGTTCAACTGAGTCTCCTGCCCCAGCTTCCCTAGTAGCTGGAACTACAGGCGTGGGCCACCACATCCAGCTGATTTTTATATTTTTAGTAGAGACGAGGTTTCGCTATGTTGGCCAGTCTGGTCTCTAACTCCCAACTTCACGTGATCCACCCACTTCAGCCTCCGAAAGTTCTGGGATTACAGGCGTGAGCCACTGCGCCTGGCCTCCTGTCAATTTAATTCATAGCCCAACCAAAGAACCTAGAAGGCTGGAGGGAAGCCAGTTTTTGCTCCCCTACAATGCCCATTTTACAGATGAGGAAACTAAAGAACAGACAGGTTAAGTAACGCGTCCACTGTGTCCACTGTGTCTTACACAGTGAGGAAGCAACAGACCCAGCACCTAGACCCAGGCCATGTGGCGGCAAAGTCTCTGCCCCTGACCACTACCTGGCGCCTTGGATGCCTGGCACATAGCCTTCGGTGAACTGGAGTTACCACTCTGACAGCCAGCCCCTGGCACAGTTCAGAGACTGTTTGCAATCACAGATCCTCTGCAGGTACTGAAGCCAAAGAAACAGGATGTCTCCCTCTCAGAGCCCCCCGGGTGATGTCCTTGCTCTCTTTGAGGTATTGGGCTTGGTGTGGGTGTAAAGGAATTGAGCCAGAAGGTGTTGGAGGAAAAGGCCAGAACTGGTTCAGAAGCCAGTGTCTACAAGCCACCTGGGATCGAGCTGTGACGGCGCCACTGTCCCAGCTGTCATAGCACCCAGCAGACTGGCCTTCCAGGACCATTGGAAGAGATGACCTGAGTTGCCAGGCATGAACGCTGTCTGGGGCCTGACCCTCACCTACACCAACAGCCCACCTGCCGCTCCAGGCTCCAGCCCTGGGTATCCCACTGTCTGCTGGACCTGTCCCAAGGCTCCCCCAGCTCAACTTCAAGCCACATGACACCCATCATAGCACGGTGCTGCTGCACACTGCGGCCGCCAGCCAGGCATGGCCTTCGATTCACGCAGGAACTCTTGTAGTCCTCACACCAACTATATGGATGGAGTGGCTCTGATTATCATTATCTCAGAGGCACGTGACCTACTCAAGGTCACACAGCTGGTGAGCCAGGCAGTCGGCACCACTCACCTCGGGGCAAGCTACCTCTCCGTAAATGGAGAGCACTGTTGCAATTGTGTCCAAATCAAAACAATCAAAATATATTACTTTTCCTCAAATCTGCTCTTCACTACTCCTGGCCTGGGCTCCCCCTCCCAAGACCTGGCACCACCACCCACCCAGGTCAGAACCTCCACGGTCATCCTGGACACCCACCTCCCCTCCCCGCCCCCTCTCTTTACTGCCCCATCAGCAGATCTCGGCAATCGGATGCCCTGAACCGTTCTCTATTCCATGGGTCTGAAACCAGGAGCGATTTTACCCCTCAGGAAACATTCTTGGTTGTCACATCTTGACAGGTGTGTGTGTATGTATGTGCCACTGACATCTGGTGGGTAGGACCAGGGACACTGCTACATAATCTGCAATGCACAGCACAGCCAGCCTCAAATACCTGCGAGTGCTGAAGTGGAGAAACCCTGCTCAATCATGCCTTGTCCCCGTCCCCACCGGCTGGGCTTCCAGCCCCTTCCTTCTGGGCTGTCACCTATCTAGTCATCACAATGACTCCTAACCACTCTGAGCTTACCTGCTTTGCCCAAAGGGTAAACACATCTCCAGGTTTATCTTTCCTATATTGTAAATGCGACCACTATTCGCTCCCTTGCTCACAACCCCCTGGGGCGGCAGGGTCAGATCAGGCCCAGATGCCGGCAGCCTCCCTGCCTCACAGCCAGGGCTGGGGAGGGGCAGAGCAGACGGGATCCCAAATCCTCCGGGATCTGGCCTCATCCTCCAATCCCACCCTGCTGGCCCCACCACACTCCCCAAGCCTGGATGAGTCTACCCTGCTCCCGAATTCCCAGGCTCTCCCCTTCCTCCTCTCCACTCCCAGGGCCCGAAATGTCAAGCCATCAGCCTCCTCCCTCCGGCAGACTGTGAAAGTGGAGGGCAGAGGGCCAATGAGATTCCCACAGCGCTGAGCCTTGGGCCGCGGATCCAGGAAGTGCTCAATGCATGCTTCTTGCATGTGAATGGAAAGAGGAAGGTAGAGCAGGAGACCCAGGAGCCTCCCTCTGCCACCCCCAGGCCTGGGAGTGGAACAATCAAGTTTGGGGACACCCCTGGGGGATAGGAGAAAGAGGGAGGGACAACTCCTCGCCCCAACTCCACCTCAGCCTCACGCAGCTGCACAGACAGAATTTGGGGCAAGGGGGCGAGGGGGCAGAGGTGGGGGGTGTTCAGCCCTGTTTGCTGAGTCTGTCTGTCAGATTTCTGCCACCTCTTCAGAGTGAGAGACTGGAGGCAGATGGGGGTCACACAGCTCCTTTCCATCCCCTGTGGACACTGAAGCTTTGAGACCCAGCACCCATAGGCTACTCCCTCCAGAGCAAGGGTAGGAGGCTGTAGGTGTCCTGAGATCTCCCATTCCCAACACCTGCACCCCCATATCCCAAGGCCCAAAAGCGAGCTGGTGGGAAGCACGTTGGCGTAGGAAAGCCCTAATTCCAGAGGCGAATGTCTTTGTGGCAAAGCTCCATCAGGGACACCAACTCCTCCCACAGGCTAAGAAACCCAGAGGGAAATGGCAGGGCACCTTGGCAGTGCTGACCCACCTCTCTCAGGGAGGTCCCTCCAACCCACAACCTACCTCTCCCAACAGGGAGGTCAGGGAGGTCCCATCCAGCCCACAGCAGCAGCCAGCATTCCTGGGCCACTGTGCCTAGCACTTAAGTTACCTCATCCCACGTACGCCCTTAACAAGCCTAAGGTGTGGGCAACAGGCATACGGCCATCCAGCTTCTACGTGGTAAAGTTGGGTTTGCACCTTGGGAGGCTGACTTCTACACTTCTCAAATCAAAAACAAAAATACAACCAAAGAGAATTCCTCCTTCTCCACAGGGAGACATCCCTTTTCCAGACTATCTGGTCTCATATCCACTGCTTCCTTTCGGGGGCAGGGGAGCCCAAATGGAAGCCCCCAACGAAAGCCACATGTCCAGCACTCAGCATGCTGGGAGGGTCCTGGATCCCGGGGGAAGAGCGTCACAGTGTCCCGGTTCCTGTAGCCCACCTTCCCAGCAGAGGGGCCAAAGCACAAGTGAGAAGGTATTTATCCCCCAAGGCCCCACACAGCTTGGTGGCCCAGGAGTTTAAGAGCCACACTGCACGCCTCCTAGGTACAGGCCGGTCCTGACCTTCTCAGGCCTCAGGCTCCTGAAGGAAAGCTCCACAGGGCTTCTGGTATCCTGGGTGCAGGTTTGGGATTGGGGTAGTCCGAGGTCAACTCTGGCTCATTCTCCTGGGCACCTCTCCCCACTCACCCTGGCCAGAGCCAGTAGGAATCACGTGTTCAGCCTGCAGGGGAGCTGCATTTTCCTTCAGGGCAATTTGAGAAGGGAGAAACAGCCATGGCCTGTGACTCCAGGGCCCCAAGGGAACTGGAACATTATCACCCCTGCAGACTGCATCCTTTCATCTCACACGTCCCTAAGCCTCCATGGCAACCCTGTGCCGAGGTAGGCAGGGCAGATCGTTTTATTCCCATGATATACAGGTAGGGAAACTGAGGCTCGATGAGGTGGGGTGACTCGCAGAGGTCACACAGCCAGTGAAAGCTTTGGGATGAGAAGTCCCAACTCATGAGGGCAACCTATTCCTCTTTCCCATAAAAGCCCTTTAACCAGGCCCCATTTCCAAAGTCTGAGTCCCAAGAGGCACTGCAGGCAGCCACATAAGAGCTGTACCTTAATCCAGGTAAGAGATGCCTCAGCCCCAGCCTAAGCCACCTGGCCCAAAACCTGGGGGTCATCTTCTCTGCTCTCCCTAACTTACCTTGTTAAACTGGAACAGGTCCCGCTTGAGCCTCTCCCGCACAGGGTCGTGCCCTGGCCTCAGGAACCGCCTCATTTTGCTTAGTCTGCAGCCCCCACTGGAGACCTGGAGAAACAGAAGGAGTTGCAGGGGCCTGTCCTGGCACTCAGGTATCGATTAGGCCGGGCTCAAACAAGTGGAGCGGGGCCTCTCTCTCCGAGTCCAGTAGGCAGCCACCGTGGGGCCAGGCCAGCTTCACAGTGACCGCCCATGCACCCTGGCTTCCCCACGCTCAGACCCAGAGGCCGGCCCACCTCAGGGCTGAAGGCTTTCACCACCTGTGGCCTTCTAATGGGGGCAGGAAAAGCTGGGGGAGGAAGCCATTTAGCCTGGCTTTATAAGCACAAGGAGGGCCGGCGGGCCCTGAGGTTAATTAGCTTAATTGTTAACCTGTTTTCCGAGAAACCATGAAACTCCAGCTAAGCAGAAAGGGAAACTTCACAAGCCTCTTCCTCTAAAGTCTTTTGGAAGCTAGAAACACCAAGCCTATCCTTCCCAGATCAGAGCCCGAGTCGGGCAGGGGTGAGGCCTGTAGTGACTCCAGGCCAGGGCACAGGCAAACGCTTCCTCCTTCTGACCTTGGGGAAGGCTGTCCAGGGACCCTCGGCCTCAGCCCCTCCAACCAGCCACAGCTACGAGGAACTCGAGTAGGCACGGGTGGCACAGGGCACTCAGTCAGGGGGTGCTGGCCCCTGTCACCATGCCCGGGGTCTCGGCCAGTCCTGTCCCCTCTCTCTGGCTAGCCCCAGTCCAGCTTCCCTGTGCTCTCATGGGGTGTGCTCAGAAAGGTTCTCTTTCCCATGGGCCCAAGTGGAGAACAATCAGGAGAAATCTGCTCCCAATAAAGAAACCAGCTCAAGGCCCCCAAACTCTCCGCCCACCATAGAATCCATTCCCAGCCCAAGGGGAAACTATTTCTGGATTATCCTTGGGGGAAGGGGAAGGAGTCTCTGTGCTCCAGCTTCTGGCTTCCAGTAGCTTAGCCTCCTGCTGACCATAGGACAGCAAGGCCCGTCCTTGGGAAACACAGACAAGGCCCAACCTGGGCACAGCTCCTTCCACTCCCAGCAGGATGGGGGAAGGAAGCAGATTCAGGCCCCACCCTGGAGGCGCATACTCCAGTCAGGGGCAGGTAGAGACAGGGCAGCCTAGTGTTGAGTGCTCGGACTGCAGGAGGGAGAGGGAACACCTGGCCCAAAGTGGGGAGGGCAGGTCATATTCGAGAAGAAGGCATCTAAGCTGAGGTTTGAAGGAATTCTGGTTCTTGGGAGGTGGCAAAAATTAACCATCAGATCAGGACTTTGCATATGATAGGATCCCATGTGATCTGGGCAGGGTGGGAGAAGGTAGGTAACGTGGGTGGCAGAGTTGGGGGTGTCTTCGGGCAGAGGAACCAAGGGCAAGCTTGCTATGCTGGGAGGGTGACCTGATTTTGCAAAATCACACTGAAAAAGAGGCAGTCTTGTAATCCCAGCACTTTGGGAGGCCGAGGCACGTGGATCACATGAGGTCAAAAGTTTGAGATCAGCCTGGCCAGCATGGTGAAACCTTGTCTCTACTAAAAATACAAAAGTTAGCCGCATGTGGTGATGGACGCCTGTAATCCCAGCTATTTGGGAGGCTAAGGCAGGAGAATTGCTAGAACCCAAGAGGCGGAGGTTGCAGTGAGCCAAGATCAGGCCATTGCACTCCAGCCTGGGCAACAGAGCAAAAACAACGTCTCAAAAAAAAAAAAAAGCAGCAGAGCCATATCCCCCTTGAGTGAAAGGATCTGCAGGGTCAGTTACCTCAAAAACGAACACCAGGAACCAGCTCCTGGAGCGCTGTCACCTTCTGTGGAAACTGAAAAAGAGGGTCAGTCCAGGACGTTCCTGCCTTCACATTTTGGAGTCAGACCAGAGGTGGGGACCAGAGGTGGTCAGACCACTTTGCTGGGGCAGAGCAGGTGGCCGGGAAACTTCCAGGGCCCACTTGATCCAAGGTCCCAAGGCAGTTCAGAGAACAGGCACCGGAAAGCCCTGAGGGCTTCTGGAATGGAAGTGAGGGGACACCGGATCTGCCGGCCCAGCGTTCCAGCCTGGGGGAGGGCAGCTCACGCTCATAAACCAGCTGGACTCCTGGAGGGCTCACACCCCTACCCGGGGCCCAGGCCAAGGTCACTGGGTCAGAAGTCAGAGGAAGCTTGGTGGGGGCTCCCTGGAGAGCGACCACAGCCTGCAGACTCCAGGGAGGGGACAAGAGGGCCCAGGGTCATTCGTGCCAAAGACTCCACACAGGTTTAAAGGTGACAAGGCAGAACTGGGGGCTGGGAGAAGGTACCGGTAGGAAGGAGAAAGACAGGGTGTACCAATGGCATCAGGAGGACCCCACCGGGTCAGGAGGGCGCAGACACCGAGCACCACCCACCCACCCAAATGCTCCCTGGAGCACCTGCCATGCAGTGTACCAGACCCTCTGCATCCTATTCCGTTTAAAACATTTTGCTCTAATCCCAGTGCTTTGGGAGGCCGAGGCGGGAGGATCACAAGGTCAGGAGATAGAGACCATCCTGGCCAACACGGTGAAACCCCGTCTCTACTAAAAATATAAAAAATTACCCGGGCGCAGTGGTGGGCGCCTGCAGTCCCAGCTACTCAGGAGGCTGAGGCAGGAGAATGGCGTGAACCTGGGAAGCGGAGCTTGCAGTGAGCCGAGCTCACACCACTGCACTCCAGCCTGGGCAAAAGAGCGAGACTTCCGTCTAAAAAAAAACACATTTTGCTCAAGTAATCTGTGACCATTGTAGAAAAAGCAAATACAGAGGAGAAAATCCTCCCTAAACCCCAGCACCCAGAGAGCCATAGTCATGGGCCGCTGAATGTCCTGGCCACCTCCTTTCCTTGGCACTGAGTGAGTTTGTGAGCGTGGAGCCCCTCACACCACCCTGATCTGGGAAGTCGTCTGAAAGGTAAGCGGAACGTCCCCACTAGACAGGCAAGGAAACAGACCACGGCAGCAAAACACCCTGTCCAACGTCACCAAGTAAGAAGCGGCAGAACTCGGGCTGGACCCCAAGTCAGAAGGGCTCTGGGTAGCAGTGAAGGATGGATAATACAGAACAAAGGATGCCCAACGACACCCCTGAAGTTAAAAGGCAGGGACACGTGCAGACACGCTCCCAGATGCTGGCCGCTCAGAGCCCAACCAGCAGTCTGGGGCCTGGTGACTGGCCACTGCTGACAGGGTGCTGGCGAGGTCTGGCTGGGCAGAGCTGGTGGCTTTGTATGGACCTGCTGCTCTTCCCACACGGGGCTGGGACCTCATGGGCGTGGGGTGATGGAGCCAGGAGGACCAAGGCAGGGTGGCATGGCATCCCCTCACTCCAATCAACCTACTGCCCAGGTCAAAGCATGGAAAAGCACCACGCTTCCTTGAAGAGGGGGCTGGTCTAGGCCTGGTGGGTCTCACCTAAAGATGGCTCCTCAGCTCCCCACCCCAGACAAGCAAGTTCTCTGCAGAGAAACTTCAGGAAGCCAGGCCTAGAGCTGCCTGGTAAGAACAGATCCTACCTACTCAGCCCACTCCTAGAGGGAGCCAGGGGTTGTATGGTTGTGAGGGAAAGAGCCCTGGGCTAGGGGCCAACAGGCCAGGGCTCGCCGTCACAGCACAGCACAGCTCCCCCAAGCCGCATGGCCTCCAGAGACAGCTCCTCTGTAAAGGTGGATGGCACTCCCTCCCACAAGGATCGCATAGAAGGAGCAGGAGCTTGGCATGGAGCAGACACTGTCCTAGGACAGGGATATAGCAGTGACAGGGGAGCAACAGACACTTCACGGGACACAAATCAGAAAATGGGATGATTTCCAGACAGCCGCGGCAACTCACACCTGTAATCCCAGCACTCTGGGAGGCCGAGGTGGGCGGATCACTTGAGGTCAGGAGTTCGAGACCAGCCTGACCAACATAGTGAAACCCTGCCTCTACTAAAAATACAAAAATTAGCTGAGCATGGTGGGGCGCACCTGTAGTTCCAGCTATGCAGGAGACTGAGGCAGGAGAATTGCTTGAACCTGGGAGGTGGGTTACAGTGAGCTGAGATCGCACCACTGCACTCCAGGCTGGGTGACGGAGTGAGACTCTGTATGAAAAAAAAAGTAACCAGAAAATGGGATGATTTCTGACAGACCTATCTCTGATTTAAAAAAAAAAAAAAGATGGACTGGGCACAGTGGCTCACTCCTATAATCTCAGCACTTTGGGAGGCCAAGGTGGGAGGATCACTAGAACCTAGGAGTTGGAGACCAGCCTGGGCAACATAGTGAGACCCTGTCTCTAAAAAAAAAGGAAAGGAGATTTTTTTTCAAATTTACACGGAACAATAAAAATTTTGAAAAGAAAGGAGGGCTGGGCACAGTGGTTCATGCCTATAATCCAAACACTTTGGGAGGCTGTGGTGGGAGGATCTCTTGAGCTCAGGAGTTCAAAACCAGCCAGGGCAACATAGGGAGACCTTATCTCTACAAATAATAAAAACGAAATTAGCTGGGCATGGTGGCATGCACCTGTGGTCCCAGCTACTCAGGACGCTGAGGTGGAAGGACTGCCTGAGCATGGAAGGTTGAGGCTGCAGCGACCTATGATCGTGCCACTGCACTCCAGCCTAGATGACAGAGTGAAACTCTGTCTCAAAACAAACAAACAAAAAGCATTAGCCAGGCACAGCGGCAAGCACCTGTGGTCCCAGCTACTTGGGAGGCTGAGGCAGGAAGATCAGTGGAGCCCAGGAGTTCGAGGCTGCAGTGAGCTATGACTGGACCACTGCACTCCAGCCTGGGCCACAGAGCGAGACTCTGTTTCTAAAAAAAAAAAAAAAAAGAAAAAGAACTGAAAGAAAGAAAAAAAAGGGATGGCAAGATCCAGCAACTAGGCTTTGGCGGCCAAAAGGTCTTGGTGACCATTCCTTTGTCAGAGCCTGTGCGTTCCCTGTTCCCACTGCCTGGGTCACTTTCCTCCAGATACCTTCATGCCCTACCCTACCTAAAGCTGCAATCTCCTGGGACATTCTCTCTCCTTCCCTGCTTGGACCTGGCCACGCCTGGAAACACTGAATAGTTTACTTATTAATCTTGTTGATTACCTGTGTAATTCTACACAAGCAGTAGCTTTCTTTTTCCTATTCAAGGCCTTTTGTCCTTTTATTCACTGCTGTATCCGAGTGCACACAGCGAGGGCTCACTCGTTATCTGTTGAATGAATGAATGAACAGACGAAGGAGGCGAGGTCTCCACCAAGACTGACTGGTGGGAAGGGGCCAGCCACAGACAACTTGGGGCACAGTGCATTAGGCAGAAGGAACAACAGCTGCAAAGCTTCAAGATGAGACAGGCTTGTATGTTTCAGGATGAAGACAAGTGGGGGGCCCAATGCAGAGATCTGTGTAGATGACACAAGAGAGATGACAAAGTGGGCCTCCTGAGCTGTCCTAGGCAGGGACCTGATGGGGCCTGCCCTCCGACCCCGTTCCCTCCTCCATGTCCCTGGCCCTCTCTCCTTGGCCCTGCGCCGGCTGCTCCATCTACTCAGCCCTGCCCTGGCTCCATTCACTATGGTCCCTGCCATTCTCTGTCTGAAATACCTTCTTGCCTGCTCAAACAGCCTGGCCCCCTTCCAGGCTGGGCATGGTGGCTCATGCCTATAATCCCAGCACTTTGGGAGGCCAAGGCGGGCGAATTACTTGAGGCCAGGAGTTCGAGATCAGCTTGGCCAACACAGCGAAACCTCGTCTCTACTAAAAAGACACAAAATTAGCCAGGCGTGGTGACGGGCGCCATGTGGTCCCAGTTACTCAGGAGGCTGAGGCAGGAGAATCGCTTGAACCCAGGAGGCGGAGGCTGTAGTGAACAAAGATTGTACCACTGCACTACAGCCCGGGCAACAGAGAGAGACTGTCTCAAAAAAAAAAAAAAAAAAAAAGAAGTCACCTTTGAAAAAACCTTCCCATCTGAACCCATCCTGACCATTCTCAGAGTCCTGGGAGGCTATCCCTGTCCACCATGGTTTTAAGGGATTTTTTGTCTTTTTTTTTTTTTTGGAGACGGAGTCTCACTCTGTCCCCCAGGCTGGAGTGCAGTGGTGTGATCTTGGCTCACCACAACTATGTCTCCCAGGTTCAAGCAATTCTCCTGCCTCAGCCTCCCGCGTAGCTGGGATTATGGGATTACAGGTGTCCACCACCATGCCCGGGTAATTTTTTTGTATTTTTAGTAGAGCCAGGGTTTTACCACGTTGGCCAGGCTGGTCTCAAACTCCTGACCTCAAGTGATCCGCCCGCCTTGGCCCCCAAAGTGCTGGGATTATAGGCATGAGCCACCGCACCCAGCCTGGGGTCATTTTATCTTAATGGGTAAAGGGACCATTTTATCTGAATCCTGAGAAGGGTCAAGATGGGTTCAGATGGGGAAGAACCACACCTTAGGATAAAATGCTCGTTAAAACCATGGTGGACAGGCCGGGCGCGGTGGCTCAAGCCTGTAATCCCAGCACTTTGGGAGGCCGAGACGGGCGGATCACGAGGTCAGGAGATCGAGACCATCCTGGCTAACACGGTGAAATCCCGTCTCTACTAAAAAATACAAAAAACTAGCCGGGCGAGGTGGCGCCTGTAGTCCCAGATACTCGGGAGGCTGAGGCAGGAGAATGGTGTAAACCAGGAGGTGGAGCTTGCAGTGAGCTGAGATCTGGCCACTGCACTCCAGCCTGGGCGACAGAGCAAGACTCTGTCTCAAAAAAAAAAAAAAAAAAAAAAACCATGGTGGACAGGCACAGCCTCCCAGCGTCATGCATGTCTCCTGGCCTTGATGTGCTGTTTATGAAACTGTCAGAAAAAATCAGAAGCAACCTAAATGGCCCACAACAGGGGACAGGTGAAGTGTGCTCAGGCCTATGACAAAAGGCTTGCAGTCATTAAAAGGAACAAAAGGGCCAGGTGCTGTGGCTCATGTCTGTAATCCCAGCGCTCTGGGAGACCAAGGTGGG